CCCCCTTTTTGCTTCTGTTCCTCCTTACCTCCGGAATTACAGATTATAATCGACATAAATATGACCCAAACTTTTTATTAGCTCGCCTAAAATTTTGGATGAAAAAATTAATACCCCACATTAAGCCCCCTCCACCACCCCCTACCTCCCAACCTATAAATTAGTATTTTTCTGATACTTTCATTGGTATAGGCCGATCTTTATTTACATTAAGAAATTAGCATTTAAAAAATTTCAAGCTACATTTCTTTGTAGTTTATAAAGTTTTAAACAAAATTTTACTCCCAAAATATTGAACATATTACTCTCTAATTTTCGGAAGTTACTAAATAAGACATTCTCTTTCGGTTTTCGGAGTCAGTTTGCTCGTAGCTTGAATTTCTCTATGCTAATGAGGAAAAAACTTAAATAAAGATCGGCCTATATTCAGAGCACCTTTTTACTTTGATGATAAAAGGGTAAATTATACGCTGTGAAAAGATGAAAAAGCGTACTGATGTTTCGGATGCATAGTACTTTTGCATAACTCATGAATCACTGACCTTTTTTTTGTTAATCTACAGTAAGTGAAGTCCCAAAAGAAACTAATGTAGTCAAGAAGTATAACAGTTATAAAGAGCTGGATGATTATAAATCAGATGAACAGAAAAAAGAAGAGGTAATGTGCAATCAAAGCTAATGGCGTTTTTAAACAAATCATTCAGGTATAAAATCAAAACAGAAAAAAGGAAAAAAAGTTAAAAGCATGAAATTAAAGTGCAATGGGGACTTAAGACTGTATCTATCTATTTATCATATTGTATTAATTCATTTATTATTTCATTTTTGTTAGTTGCTGTTGTCGTTGTAGCATATTTATATTATATATGAAACTAAATACGAGATCGTAAATCAAGAAACCAAATTTACACTATGAAAATAAATGAATGTTTGAAAAAAAAAAAAATGGTAAAGCCCTTTATTGTGGATTATTTTAACCGCTGGCAGCCGCAAGGATGATTGTTAATGATGAATGAAGCTTTTAATTAAAGCACCGACCACCCACACGATGAATTATTATTGTGGGATTGAGGTGGTGTCGTTCATGTAGTGTTGTTTGTAGTAGCTGGAACCATGTTTGCCAGTAGCGCCACTTATGAGGGAATTGAGTTGCCACTATTGGGACTATTTATGGTGATTAAGATAGGCTACCAAAAGTAAAAACTTACAGGAGCAACTTGTTAGCACTAGTGATCTTGCAAACTAAGCAAAACTGGCTAACAGCAAACACCTTGTGCGGCCACAAGGACAAACCAAACATGCATGAGGATGCATGTGATGATGTGCTACATGACCACTGACCACCATTCTCTCCCTGTTGATTTTTATTTATTGATATTGACATTATTTTTAATTTTATTAATTATTATACTAATTTAGCCTGACTTGCATTCAATGCAGGTTCTTATAGCAAAGTAACTAAAGATTACGAAACCACTGGTGCAGTCCCCAGTATGTGTGCTGGATCATCTTTTTCTTATCCTTTCTTTTATTTTTGTAGCTCGTGACAGCCATGGTAGACAAACTGGGTAACTATGAAGATGATCCTCTTCCCCAAGATATGATGGAAGGTGTTGATGATGATGAATGGGTAAGACTTAGATAATTGATTATAACAACAGTTGCATGGTTTAAAGATGAAAAATGTTTCTTAGAGACAAGCTAATTTTCCTTGGAAAAGGATTCCAGACAGGATTCAAACCTGTTACAATCTTTTCTAGTCTTTACGCCTCTATTAAACCACTGATGTACTGGAACTCATGTTGCTTTTTTGGTGTATTAAACACTTTAGACTCATTGTTTGTTATCTTTTTATCTTTTAGGATGACTAAGAAGGTGCAAGGTGGTACCAAATATTACAGTTAAATAACTTTTTTAGAAAGGTCAAAAAGTCCCTTTTTGAGTGGAAACGTTTGGGTTATATATATTGGTATTTAAATTGTTTAAATGAAAACCCCCAAAATTCATTCATTCAAAAACTAGGTTCATAAAATAGTGATTAATCAGACCTGGAGCAGGTCTATACGATCACAAGAAATCTTCATTTAAGGTCATACACAAACATGCATAAAACGAAATATGGAGGTGTGCACTGCCAGTCAAAATTTCAAGTTTATATCTGTTATTACAGCCGTTACAAGAGTGCTATAATTTTGAATTAATTCCATACATTCTTGCAGTTACATTGTGTAAGGGCTTCTAGTTAGTACATGCGCTGGTTTAAGAGAACAATGCGAGAGTTACAACTAGGTTAATTAGATATGAATTAGTATATGTAATAGGACTCCATGCTGTCCAATTAAGAAATAATTGGACGAGGAAATTTCCGAGGACTGACAAAATTGGATGAGGCCGTAGACCGAGTCCAATTTGGCAGTCAGAGGAATTTTTTGAGTCTAATTATTTCTTGATTGGGAAGCATGAAATCCCATTACCTATTAGTTATATAGCTGCCTAATTAATCCCATATTAACAAGACCTGTCCAGTTAAGAAAATAATTGGACAGTTACCTATATGGGATTAATGAGAAGCTGTATAATCATTAGATTAATTATATGTAAGTTCTTTGGTAAACTTACTAAAATATATTACTATTTGTAGATTGAAAATTATAGGCATTTTTAAAAACCAGAATACTGAAAGTAAAATGATTCATAATAAAAATTAAAAAATATTGGCTGTTGTTTTAAATCTCACTTTCTGATTTAATAGTTGGGGGTGCATGCTTTGTGAGGAGACCTTTATGAGAGCACACAACATGCATGTGCACTTTCAATTTTATCATTTGTATCAAAGATAAACACCATTCTAATTTACATTTCGTAAAGGACAAAAAAGTCCTTGCTTTGTGCATTGTGTAGTTCCAGAAATTATCCATACCCCCCCCCCCCCCCCGAATTTGAAAAAAAAAAAAGACCCCTCGGAAATTCCAATTTTCTTCCATACAAACTCTTTTCTTTCGATGATGCCCCTACCCTCGGAATTAACAAATAGACATCAGTTTTTTGTGTCTGTCCTTTTATTGACGATAAATTGCACCATCACATTGTCAAAGTAGTATGGATCCACGAGGCATAGCTGATCTGCATACTACTTTCACAATGTGGGTATTGATAATTTCTGGAACAAAACATTCATAAAGCATGGAGCATCCCAATCCCTCAGGAATTCCAAATCGCTCTTTGGGCAGGGGAGGGGGGTTGTAGGCATTGATAATTTCTGGAACAAAACATTCATATAGCACGGAGGACATTTATTTATTTCAAAGGCCACCATATACAATTTGTACATTGGAGCATGGCTAAAGAAAATACATTCCCATCCCTCCATCCCATTCCATTTGGGGAGGGGGGTTAATTGGCAAAACACTTGTGCTTCTCATAACACTCGTCTCATGTTCTGCAAATCTCTACATCCAGAGGTCATTTATTCTCACTCTGTGATTTGCTGTTTTGAAGGCACTCATTCATTACAAAATGCAAAATAGACAAGGGCGGATCTAGGATTTTGTTCAGGGAGGGGTGCTGCCCACAAAGTTAGCTCAGGGAGGGGTGCACCCCTTAGGATCAAAGGGAAAAAACAGCATTGCTTACTATCAATCACATGACTTTTTGGAGTTGACTGGGGGGCAAACAAGCGGTTGACTGAGGGGCAACTAGTGGATGCTAAGTCAAAACATATCAAATTAAGTCCTCAAACTATTGTATTTGACTATTTCTACAACATGAAACCAGAAAACAAGAGATCAAAACAACCTTTAATATTCTACAAACCCTTAAAAATGCAGCTATTACCGGAAGTGACGTCTATTGATAGCAACCTATTGGTTGTCTGCAAACTAGGGGCACAAAGTCGAACCAGGGAGGGGTGCGCACCCCCTGCACCCCTCCCCTGGATCCACCCCTGATAGAACCTCTGTGGTTCAGGGTTCATCCTTCGTATAGCACACATGCATTTTCTATTTCTTCAATAGGTCATGTTTTATATTTTAACAAACTTGATTGTGAGTTAGTTGAAAGGTACTTATTCACTCGTGTATAGCAAACACATGGATCACCAAATACATTAATTGAAAATTTTGGAAGAAATGCTACTAAACAATGTTATAATTACATCTATATCTACTGATCCTTTTGAGGTTCAATGCAAATTTGAACATTTCATGAGGAGAACCTCAGTGTTGTGCTAGAAGACCGATGATAGAATCTTTTAAAATTATAAAAAATGTGGCGTTTTGATTATCATTATCTCTTGATGGTTTGAAATTACGAACAAGACACAATTTAAGTTGGAAACAAAAAATACAAGCCATTATCAGGTTCAGCAGTTTTTATTTTTATACACAATAAATATTATTTCCAACAACCAACTCTATCTCTTGGTATTAGTCTGAGTTCAGATCCATGCTTCAAGAATATGTTCCCTGCAAAACATGGAGTAAATGCATTTTACTGTGACTGCAATTTTTATAAATATGCGAACTCTGTGTCTGCGAGCTGCATGCTGAAAATTTGTTTTTCGCTGCTGTCAATCAAAAAATGAAAGGTACCAACTGTCAGATTAGGTTTGATTGATAGGCAGCAAAAAAACAAATTTCAGCAATCAGTAATCCACTCCCCCCAAAAAATATTGTTGGATTAAAAAAACAACAAAAATATAGTATATATAGTTATTAGCCCCCCTTCTTTCCGAAATAAAATCTCTGCTACAACATTTCATTTCTGCTGAATAGAACCTACAATCTGTGCCAAAACTGCTGAGACTCCCCTCATTATTTACTACACTTCTATTGACATTTTGCATACCTTTCAATAAATGGATTCCCACTTATTTTTATCAACCACCTCCCCCTCAGTTCAATGTTCTTTCTGTACAAGGTACACCCCTTACTCAAATAAGAAGCTGATAGGCTCAACATTGTGAAGGGGGAGGGAAAAAGTTATATAGTTTGTGTTGTGTTTGGAAGGAAAGGGGAAGCTGAGTAGTGAGTCTCAACTAGTTTTGGGGCAGATCGATTGTAGCCTGCACAGCCATATAGTCATTCCCCATTCCCCCAGAGCCATGATACACAAGGTAAATGGAACCTTTATATACTCTTATAAAATAATTGAGATATAACGTGCGTGCTGATTGGCTGGCTAACTGTGCTGGCTAACACGCTTGCGTGAAATCATTCAAAAATATTTCGTAAAAGCGATATAAAACGTCCGCTTGTGTCTATGTACTGTGATATAAACACGATGGGAGCTGTAGAGCATTCAAGAAGTCAAAGAAACACTCGGCTACTCCTCCGCGTGTTTTTCTACGACTTCTCTCTTGCCCTACAGCTCCCATCGTGTTTATATCACAGTATACATATATAGACACGCCCGCCATTTTATATTCCTAAATTGATTGATGGCAGTGTTTCGCCCTATTGTCAGTCAGGTCAGTGATATACTGCTACTGATAACATGTAAACCAGTACTACCTGATGCATAGTCGAGCCATCGGCAACTAAACCGGCTCCCCCACTATCCAGTAAGGAGGGTAGATGAGCCTTTTTAAGTCAACGGCCATCCAACATTGTTAATTTCGTAGTATTTCATTATTCATGTGTACATAGACATAGTTTTAATGATTTTGTTTTTGATTTTGTCACAATCAGCGTATAGCAATGAAAACAGTGGTAATGTCAATTAATTGATGCTTCTCCCTTGAATATCATCAACCACAACAAAAACAACAACTTAATCACTACCATATCATCTTAAGTACATTTAAAGCTTACATTTCCATTCATTTATATTTTTATTGCTTGAAAATCCCATGGTTCCCCTTGTATTATTTAAAACTGATTGCCCCTAATAAAATAAATAGTAAACACCAACCTGCACTCTGAGATGGGTTGATTCCAATGCCATCTATGATGGATAAATTTGATTGTTCATAAATACAAATATGAAAATATATCGACGTCCATAATAATGCTTAGAAATATTACTACACACTTTTAAAAAAATACAAACATAATCTTAAACTTTTAAGCTTATTATATTAACTCACCATTCGTAATTATAGCACTTGTAGCAGGAGGTACTTTAAACTGAAACAAGAAAACGAGTCCACGATCAATTGTATGATCGACGGTACTATTTCTTGTCGTATTCAGACCGGCACTAGCTCATTTATAAATATAAGCCTTTAATTTCAGAACGTTTACTTACTTCTTCGGCAGCAAACCTTAATACAGCTGTAAATGGCGTCGCTTCAGGTACACTAAGACTAAATAAGAAATACGTTCTTCAGCTATCAAAAAAAAATATTCCTTATCTTTATTTTTTAAATTAAAATATTTTTTCTGGACTATAAGCTAGCTCATTTCTCTTACATTTTATACGGTAGTTTTGGATCCGATGTTAGCGTAATTTTGAAGGTTACCTTCGACGACCTGAAGGGAAAAAAATTATAGAAAGCCTTTAGTGTCTTTTCCTCATAGATTCTACTAGTTTTCGATCAGTAGTAAGAATATTTTGAGCTCACATTCTTGGTTGTTGATGATTCGATCAAAGTCGATTTCAAAGAGACTGAAAGTCTACGGAAGCACAGCTGTTGAGAGGAGTGGGGACTAAGAACCAATTACGTCACTTCCGCCGAGATCTTCCATTCTCATCTTTCCAGTTCAATTTTTTCTCTTTCTTTGTTCTGTTTCTTTTTTTTAATATTCATCTTTAATTTTTCACGAAGGAGTCTAGCAAGCTGAGAGAGAAGAAGGGAAAGAGAGAGAAAAGAGTCAACTTTCCTGGTTCTCTAAATAAAAAAATTATTTGTTTTTCTATGCTTTTTGAAATTTTCATTCAAGATTAATTTCAATTCATTACATGATTTACTGACCACGTACCTTCATTCCTCTATTTATCTGTGTTAAGTTAATTTTTTTGTAGTCAGACATAGTAAGTTTTTTAAATATCTAAAAAAAGGTTTGTTTGAGAAAACATTTTTAATCATACGTCTCGCTTACTTTTCTGTGTTTATTTCTATACAAAATTATAAATAATGAAATCAAATTGATGCTAATGTGTTACTTAGACGTTCAATAGACCATTATTTTCTTTTTCTTTTGGCGATTAAGTGAAGTTTGAYATAGAAAAAACGCGTCTATTAGCGCGGGGCCATGAATCGAAAGATTTCAATAAAACCGCTATTACTTCAGTTCATGGAGCTCTTAACAAAAATAAAACCAAATCTTTTCATTTGCGTCTTGTGGCCTTCAGATTTTGGTTCAATACTTTTCAGGTAATCAATTGCTGTATTTGCTGATTGGCTTAGGGTTTTATTGCACGGGGTCACGTGACCGAGAAAGGCGTTCGAATAATGCGAAAGACCAGCAAAATCAACCATGGCGGTGCAGTCGGTCGGCCATTTACTGTGTCAAATCCCTTGATATAAAATAACAGGGGAAAAATCCCTCTAAATAGCTGCACAAAAAAGAGTCTCGCCGTTTTTTTGGCACTTTTTAGAACGTTATCTAGTTCGTCAACGCGAAGAAAGTCCATTCAAAGTTAGAGACCGAAAACTGAAAGGTAGTGCTTGTTCATTTTCCATCCGCCTGGATCATTCAGGAAGCATAGTTTTGACTCTTTGCTTTTGTATCGAAATACAAGTGAGGCCATTATTTTCGTCGACATGCCAAGTTCAGGAAGAAGTTCACGGACACCCAGTGTCGATCCTGAGTCGATCAGTATGGAAATTAGACCTTCATCTGTGATGAAGAAAGAAAGATCTTTTTCTCAGGTTGACACTCGTCTCAAGAAAGGCTTCATCCCCTTGTTCTTCGAGCGCGCCTCTTCAAAGTGGTGGAATCCAAGATTTGACTCTCACATATTGGAAAAAGAGTTCCAAAGATTCACTTTTAAGAATAACAGGCGTCGTTTAATTCGAGCTTTGATGTACGTACTTGTTGCTGCGGTAACATGGGCGATCTTTTTTGTAATCACCCGCAAAGTCTACACAGACTGGTGGAAAATCCTAGTTGGTTGTTTAGTTTTCGCCTTAGTTATCGTGGCTATTATGTTCTATACCGAATTCAGTGAGTCATATGTAAGATACGCTGCACATGTATCTCTTTTTGCGGCTATTTGTTTACTTGCTGCATCGCTGGCCACACTAAGCTTCAGTACGGAGTTTTCCAACACTGCTCGATTCTGTGTGTGTACGTGCTTCATCATGGTCATTTACACGATGCTCCACACATTAAGGCTGTATATCTGCATTTTCATCACCACAGTTTTCTCGGTTGCTCACGAAGTTCTCAACGAAGTTCTTTCCAACGACGAGCATCGGCTGAAAGGTTTAAGTCACGAAATCGTTAGCATCATTCTTCTGCACGCCTGTATTCATTTGGTTGGAATCTCGATTTTCTTTATGGCTCAGGTGAGAGAACGCAGCACGTTTTGGAAAGTTGGCCAGAGTGTTGTAGCTCGCCGCGATCTTGAGATCGAAAAACAAGTAAAGGAGCGAATGGTGCGCTCAGTCATGCCAGAAAAAGTGGCCGACTCGCTCCTCAGTGTCGACGACGAGGACGAAAATATGAATATGAACATGAACAAAAACAATAAGGACTCTGGAAATGGGAAACGAAAAAACAGGAAAGCGAAATTTGCATTCCGTCCGTTTCAAATGCATCGTATGGAGAATGTTAGTATTCTTTTTGCCGACATTGTGGGCTTTACAAAAATGTCTTCAAACAAGTCTGCTGATCAGTTAGTTCGGCTATTAAATGACTTGTTTGGCAGGTTCGATCGATTAACTGAGATTAATAACTGTGAAAAGATAAGCACCTTAGGGGATTGCTATTATTGTGTAGCAGGCTGTCCAAAAGAAACCAAGAATCATGCAATCAACTGCGTGGAGATGGGACTGGCAATGTTGGAGCAAATTAAAGAGTTTGATAATGATACAAATAATGACGTAGACATGAGAGTGGGGGTCCACACAGGTACTGTCTTGTGTGGAATAGTTGGCACAAAGCGTTTCAAGTTTGATGTATGGTCGAATGATGTCACCTTAGCTAACCGTATGGAAACTGCAGGCCTTCCAGGCAAGGTACACATCACAGCAGATACCCTAAGTTTCTTGAATGATCTGTACGTGGTCGAAGATGGACATGGTGAAGATAGATATCCTGGGCTGAAAGGTATATCTACGTATTTCATAAAAGGACGGAAGAATGGAGTACAGAAACCAGTAGAGCACCTTAACTCACAGTCAAGTAAACCATCACCCAGTATTTGTACAAATAAAAGTACAAATAACAGTGCAAATAACAGTGCAAATAACAGTACAAATAACAGTATAAATGTGACTTCAAGTCCAAGGCCTAAAAAACATGTCAAAATATCTGATGATGTCTCAACTTCTGAACGTGCCTTCAGCTCTGATTCCAATCTCTCCAACCAGGAAGAATCGGTATTTGAGAATGGGCCACGCAAGGGGAATCTTAAGACCCGTGTTGATAAGACCGAGCTAGAATATTTGAGTTCAGACCCTGGTGGGAAGGTCGATGAAGAAAAAGAAATCCGCCACAAGATGGTCGGAAAAGTTTTAGAACGTGGAGCATCTCAACAGCAAATCCTTGGACTGTCTTTTCCTGAAGCTTTTACCAGAGAAACACTGAGAACCTCCAATGATCAGCAGCTTGTTAGCCTAATGAGTGAGCAAAGATTAGGCAATAAGCATGAGTACTTCCATGCTCCAGTTACAAAGTGCACACTGCAGTTTACTAACAAGACCCTGGAAAAACAGTATCAGAATGAAGGACAAGATTCAACACTTTTGAATCCATCAGTCACTACTTTTGCTTCTCCAAAAGTCAATTTCTTCACCGATGTCCTCCTTTCGAATATAGTTTACTTGATAATAAGCCTTTTGTGCTTTTTACTATTTTCACCAATCCCACTGAGCAAGAAGATTTTGACGCCGTTGGCTTTGATAGTTGAAGTTACACTCTTCCTTCTGAACTTTGCCAGAGCATTTCCTCGGAGATTTCCTGAATGGTTCCATCCGTTAGTAATGTACACATCTGGCTGGTGTACGAGTCATCTAGTAGGAGCCCTCTTAATGTGTTTGCCGATAGCCACTGTATTTTCAAATTTTATGGACTGTGATAAACTTATTGACAATAACACGAGGTATTACTTCACATATATTGTTGCTGTTGCTTTACTTCATTTTTGTAACTTCACTCAGCTGACGTCATGGATGAAAACTGGCTTAGCTGGAGTTTTTTCTGCAACTTACATTATTCTTTTACAATTTGACAATTTTTGTGCATTCAAGCCAGTTAATTCTAGTAATAGTACTATGATTGATGTTACTATGAAGGGGCGTCAAATGGCAAACGAAGTGACAGTAGCAGTTATTCTTTTATGGGTGTTGGTAGCACTTCTGAATCGTCAGCTAGAGATAGGTGTACGAAGGAATTTTAGTGGGGATGCTGAAGCGGCAAAAGACAAAAAGAAATCCCAAATCCACAAGCAACAAGTAGATTGGCTTCTTTTCAGTCTTTTCCCAAAGCATGTCACTGAAGCTTTGAAAGTTTCTGACCATTATTCCAGAAATTATGATGAAATTGGAGTGATGTTTGCTTCTATTGTGAATTTTGCGGACTTTTATGAAGAGAACTTTGAAGGTGGAAAGGAGTGTATTAGAGTTCTGAATGAACTGGTAGGGGACTTTGATGAACTTTTAGACAGTATTGAATTTCATGAGGTAGAGAAAATCAAAACTGTAAATGGGTCCACATTCATGGCTGGTTCTGGACTGAATTCAGAAGCCTGCTTGTGTAGAGAGAAAAATCCACATGAGCACCTGAAACAGCTTGTTGAATTTGGGTTAGAGATGATGAATGTAGTTCACAGATTCAATGAACATATGCTGGGATTCCAGTTTGTACTTCGTATTGGCTACAACACGGGACCAGTAACTGCAGGAGTAATCGGAACAACCAAGCTTCTATACGATATCTGGGGGGACACTGTGAACCTAGCCAGTCGCATGGACACGACTGGAGTGCCATTTAAGATCCAGGTCAGTGAGGCCACCAAGGACAAATTGAGTGAGTTCTTCACATTCTCATTTCGTGGAACAATTCCAGTCAAGGGGAAAGGATTTGTCACGACATACTTGCTGGAAGGAAGAAGAGAGGTATGATAATAATTAAAAATAAAAAAATTTTTTTCAACTTTTTAAAATTTTAAGAATTTCCCCCAAAAAGTTTGTTCTTGTTTGTATTAGATATGAAATCTAAACAGCAGTATACCTTGTTCATTTGTGCTAAATGTAATCTACTTTTAGCTATCTAGTCTCTTTGTCTATCTACGAAAGCCAGGAATGTTCAATTATCTTTCTGCAGCATTTTTGTGGGTTTAAAGCCTCTTGAGAGTATAAAGCAAGACTTTTTTACTGCTAAATTCTTTCAATGAAAATAATACTTCTTGAGACCTTGGAATGATTATGAATGAGAAAATATATGTCATCTAGACATTATTTGCATACTGTGTCAGTATCAATCCTCCAATATCGTATTATAGGTACCTTGTTATTCTAAAACCCAAGTGTAATCTTAAGAGGCATTCTTTTGACAATCAATGAAAGCACAACATTTGTTGTACTGTTTATATTTAACAAACTTTTGTGTCAAAAATCATTACCAGGTACTTCAGATATAAGTGGATCCTTAAGTTGATTTTCTTTTATTTTCTTTCTTTCTTTCTTTCTTTTTTTTAATATTCCAAATCTAAAATTTCCTTGCTGCTTGGCTTCATCATACTGTATCATGGAACTTGTTTCTTCAATGTTAAAGCCAGAAAGCTTGGTCATTAAAAATCATTAATGGCTGAAAGTATGAGTTCAATTTTTTAAAATGTGTATTTGTGAGCATACAGTTTGTTCATAAACAATACAAGAATAATACTGGTTGCATGTAAAGAGATTTCAGAGGTCTCATAGGTTGGAATGAAACCTTTAATCTTTGGAGGGAAGACATTGTCTAGAGCTGATGATGTTAATGATAACAAGGGACTTACATTTTTTAAGGCTGCGTCCATAGTGTATGGCAGAGGGGGAGCAGGTGAAATTTAGGGGGGATCGGGAAATTTTTACCAGTAAAATGGGGGGGGGTTTGAAATTTTTTAAAGAGAATTGGGGGGATGCAAAATCTTTAGAAGAAGCTACGAGAGAAGGGTCTTGAAATATTTCATGAGTCACAGTATAAATTATGGGCTCATTTGGGATTAGGGGGTCCCCCCAAAAAAATGTTATGCTGATTGGAGGTTGGAGGAAAAAAATATCCTTTGTATTTTTTCACGCATACTCCCCTTCTGATAAATGATGAATAATTGTACTTCAAAGCACACACAATAGCAGAAGTTATTGTGGCTTTATTTGGATATCCTTTATCTTTATGTTCTTCTCGTTTCTTTTCCAGGATATAAAGGCCCCTACTTGTGATTTGCATCAGCAAGATTCAGATGGGAAAAGGATTTAGGGGAGGTTACCTATCAGCACGGGTACTTTTCTAGTTTGAATGAAAGGCACACTAGATAAGTAGTTCTACAATACATTATATGACTGTGTGGTAGTGTAATTTGCAAGGATAGTGATTTCCAAGTGCCCCTGGTCAAAGTCCTTGCATTGCACTTAAACTTAATGTACAAAATGAAGGTAAAACGTGTTGTTAGTATACTTACAGAACTTGTTTCAGGAATTAAGAAACAATAGGAAAAAGTTTTTAATTTATTCTACACAGTAAAGATTCAACTGAGATATAATGTTTCTATATGATGGAATGAGTTCTGTACATGACTAGTCTTGTCACTGACGTATAACCCAAAAAAGAGTTTTGTTTTTTTAAGAGTCATATTTTGGATGGTCATTAATCCATTCTTGCAGTTTTTTACATTGGTTTTCCAAATCAATAGTTGTATTCAAGATGTAACGGAATTAAGGCAATGTTAATGGGATTAGCATTTCACTCAAGCACAGTGGTACGAAAAAACAGTACAATAAGATTATGATATTTTGAAAATAATATAAGGAAATTATATGATGATTAAGCACTGAGATAAATAGTAATTATGCATTCCTGTGTACAGTGTTTTAACATTAGATACTGTATCAATTCAAGCAACAAGTTAAGTCCAAATAACAGGAATTACGAAGATGATATTTAGAATTAATTCTCATTAAGTTTTAAAGTTCTTAAAAGCCTTTACACAATATTTTCAGAATTGATTCTTTAGATAGTGGATAGTTGATTGTGAAAATATTTCGTCATTTGAATGTCGGGTCTTTGAGATACAAAGGTTTATATTCCCAATATGTTAATGACTACAACGTAACATAAGGGATCATTTCATATACAACACTGCACTCATTCTGGAATACAGTATTTTAAAAGCATCACCCTTTTACTCGTGACTCACGTAAAGGTTCTTACAAATTTGTTTTCAAAAAATTTCCAGCGTTCAATATTAAAAGTTGCCACAAAATAACTCAAATCCCTTATGTTACGTCATAGTCATTAACATATTGGGAATATAAACCTTCGTATCTCAAAGACCCAACATTCAGATGACGAATTATTTTCACAATCAACTATTCACTATTTAAAGACTCAATTCTGAAAATATTGTGTAAAGGCTTATAAGCACTTTAAATATGTTGCTCACATGCATATGATTATTTCAGTACTAATGTCAACTTGTTAGCTGTTTTCAGTAATAATAAATAAATCCTTACTATCTTTAAATAATCATTAATTTTATTTTAATATGAATTGGAAATTCTGAAGTACATGAAACTCTGATTAAGTAGTAAAAAATTCAAGTTTACCTGTTAGAAATAAAAAAATTATGTGAGGACTGTCAAATTCTTTAAATTCAATATCATTTAAACATCTAGTCTGTTTGAATTGGTTTTTTTAGAATATAAATTATTAAGCTTAATGATTAAATTATGAGCTTATTTTAAGTTATTTTTTAATATCAAAATAATGTAAGCCTGCCAAAATTTTAATTTTACAAAAGAAATCATTTTAAAAGTGTATAAATGTTTGTGAGTTGCTGTAATTAGTATTCTTTTTGCAAAGAATTAAAGCTATTAAATATTTAAACTCTGTCTTTAATTCAAAAAACAAAATTTAGAACATTGCTTTTTTTACTTAACTATTTGTTATTAATGCATTTTAGGTATTTGAATGGCTAAGAGAAATAATAAATGCTTAAGGCATAACACTATGACACATTTTTATTTTAACCATATTGTTTTGTTGGTTAATTAAGGAAGAAAAAAATAATTATAACAAATGCTAAAGATAAAGCATTTAATTGTTATATATGTTAAGTGTATGCTACATCGAGTGTATAAGCAGATTAAAAAATCTGCCTCAGTTGGGTTCTCGCGGGACTCGAACCACTGACCTCTCGTTTGCTCGTTTGTTTTTTAATTGTTGTTTGAAATTGTCTGACAAAGCTTATACATATACATAATTCATGAAGCAAGAATCCATATAAGTATTAATGTAGATATACTGTAGTCATCATGCAGTGAATGGTTTTATTTTCTTATTATTGTGTCATTAATCTTAGTTTAGACTAAACATTATTAATAAGACTAATAACATTATAGAGTACGTACAAACACTAAAGGAGTGCCATACTTTGCAGTATTTGCATAGGAATGTATTGTTTTAAATGTACTGCACCAACATGGCTGCTGTGACGTCACATGAAAATGCTGTATTAAGTCACTTTCATCAAATGCAAGTAGTATCTAAATTCATTAATACATTCTTCTCAAATGGGGTAGCTTCCTTTTAATAATGCATCTACATAAAATATGCATTCTGAAGTTAAAAAATGGTAATATCCGGCACAATTTTTGCATTGCAATCAACACACAGTAAGAAGTTCCTGTGCATTATACAATTAATTAATTAAACAGATTAAAAAAATATCATGGCCAAACAACCAATCAGAAACAAGTATTTTATGTAGATGTGGTATAAAACACTACCAGCTGAAGGGACAAAATGACCAGCCCTATGCATTTTAGGAGCTAGAAAGAAAAAAGCAAACGTGGTGGTAAAGTGAAATTATTTTTTTTGTCTGCTCTTCCATATTTCTGCTTCTCTTAGGCACGCATATTATATTTTAGCGAAAAGAAAACCAAAAAGTTGAAGGAAATAAGCCTGGGCTGGCGGCAAAACAGCTAAAGACGCTGTGTGATTGACTGAAACAAAATTCACCACTCAGATGGTAAATACCACTAATTCAAAAATAGAAAAACAATATAATTAGCATAATTTAACACTATTTAGTACTACGTAGGTTTTAGTGTTTGTACTCTATAAGAATATGGTGTCATCATTTAAAGTTAACGTGCCCATACCACCTAACTTAATATTTTTTTCAGTATTGATTGTACAAAGTGAATATTTGAATGGTAAAATACTTTTATATGATTTGAGTGATGCAT